AAAGCAACTGCACCACCAAAACCAAAGCTGCATCAAAAAACAAAGGCCGCAAAGGTTACACAAAAATCTGCACCCCGTGTTGGAGGAAAACGTTAATTTTTGTGAATTAATGTTTTTATTAAAATAAATGACCAGCATTATTGTACATTATTTACACTTAAAATCTGACCCAGACAATGTGCATCTTGCAATTGTGTACCTACTAATGCTTATCCTTGCACAGTGTAAGTTTAATGTTCACATTGTGTCGAGTATTCTCGGGGGGAGTTTCTTTCTGTGGCTGGTTCTCTTATATATTTTTAACTTTGGTAAAAAGGAATACTTAATCCAGTTGTCCATTTAAGCATTGATTATACACGTATAATCAATGATTTAAGTTTTTAGAATTTTTGTACCTACTCGCAAATTCGATTTATTATACATGAGAGGGTCTCGGTAATTAGAATTTGAGTTTCAAAGGAATTAGCTTTTTACACAATATTAAATATAAAATTTTGTTACACTCAATTCCAGACCTTCTACTATACAGGTCGATTCAAATTTAAGGACCACCATGGGGATCTAGGAAACTGTAAGAAATAGGTAGGTAAATTTGGTAAAGTTGCGTATTTTGATGCAGTTTTGAAATTGAAATAATTTTGAAAAAAAAGGAAATTTTTGCAAAATCGTTTTTATTTTTTACCGAAGTTATTTAAAATAGAATAAAGTTATTTATTTCAAAATAAATGACACTTACCATACATCCCGGTTTGACCGGGATTGTCTCTGATTCACATCTATGTCCCGGCCTGTTTGCCATTTGATCCCGGTTGTTCTGCGTTTGAATTTTAATAATGATTGTTACCGAGTTCATTTATCAGTGTTGTAAAAGACGTGAAATGCCGAAAAGCGTGTTAATATGGGACAAGAGTATAAGACAACAAGCAATTACGGGGGCTGCGTTGCAGTCGCGGGATTCAGATACCTACCTAATAGCGGAAATATTTTCCCTCGGCACCTCTCAATGACCGTGTTACATGTAGCGATTTTTATGAAAAAATTAAGAAACGTAATAATTTGTTAACAAAAGTATACTCCAGCGCAAAGTACCTACAATTGGTATGATAAATGAGTCAAATGCGAGTGTAAAATGGTTGTTTGAATGAAACATTTTTTTACCTACAATTTTTAGTACATTTCCACAAAAATAAAAAAAATGCGCTAGTGTGGAAGGAATTTTTCTGCGTTTATTGCTAAAAAAGTTATTGTAAAAAAACCAAAAAACCGTTTTTTACATGTTCCATAATTTTACACTTTTGCTGTTTATTAACGATCCTTAGAGATCGTTTATAATTTTGTATTGCTGTCTGTCGTCTGTCTGTTGGTCTGTCCGACTGTTCCTTTGTCTGTCTGTTCCTCTATCTGTCCGTGTGAACGATAACTTTGTTTAGAAATGTCCGATTGCTTTTACATCTCCGTTAGTTATGAACTGAATAGCATGAAATTCAATATGGGCAGTTGAGTCGAATGGATTCAAAATTAACAGTGCCCTTTTCGCATCTCGACCATTAATAAACCGAATTGCAAACTTTTTTATTTATAAAAGTATTTAAATGAAATTGATACATAGGCACTTGTAGGGTTGCCATCCGTCCGGATTTCCCCGGATTTGTCCTAGTTTAAGGGACGTCCGGGGGGGTTTTCAATGGTAGTCCGGGTTTGAGGTACTGAGTAGGTGAATTAAAAATCTTTCTGTCAAAATTTAAGCCAACAAGCTAAACTACCACTTTTTTGCAATCCTGCTCATAATGACAACGCTGAAAGAATATTTTCACTATTAGAGTGGCACAACAGTGGCCAAAATAAAGAAATTTATTGAATATTGAAACAGTCTTTTGGAGTTTTTTTAAGAAGCGAAACTCAAAGAAAGTAGAAAACACTTTAATGAACACAAAATGAGCAAAAATATGGAAAAGTAATAACCAAAATGAAACAGATTCAATCAGCGATTTTTGTGTTACTACAACCCCAGAACAAAAAACTAAGAAGGGAAACGTAAACGGGAACAACTGAGTACCAATATAATTAGTTTTGAGAACATTCAATAGATGGCGCATATTTAGCGCGCTTGTTAAAGTTACTAAATCTAGTGACTTTAGTACGTGTCGCCATTATGACAGTTGAATTTTGAATTTTGATTGACAGCTTATTGTGCTTTAAGTATAATTACTATTCATTATTACAATGAATTATGCATATACAAATCGAAAACGTAAATGTTGTGTGACAAATTGTGAAGACGTTTCCCAAAATGGAGCCCGAAGTTTTTATAGAATTGGTTTAGAATATAATGTGGAAGAAATTTACACAAAAGTTTTTGGTTTGTGAACGTCATTTTTCTGGTTGCGCTTTAGAACCTGGAACACGAAGAGGTTTAATTAAAGCGTGTGGCAGTTCGCACATTATCTTTAGCAGGTAACACTAATTGAATTGTAATAAATTGCTACATATTTTGTTTTTAGAACGATCTTGAGAGCATCATAAAGTGTAGAGTTCCATGAAGTTGATCTTGTATCTTGTATATCCATATTAAATTAAATATAACTCTTTGATTGGATTAATTGGAGTTGTTACTTATAAAGTGGTCTGTACTCTTTGAAGCCCCTGACTGTTGAGGTGCATCGGCATTAAACTGAATTTATCTGGATCCCTAACAAACAAAATTGGACTTCACTGGCTGGATTCATTTACCTTTTAGGTTTCAGTTAGTCAAATCCAATGTTATTGTTACAGATCCGGAGAAATGCAGTATAATGCGGACGTAGCTTACATTTTAATATTTAAATTTGGCGCCATTCACGCAAAAGCTGCTGAGAACATACACGAGATGGCGCGTCATTTTTACATTACATTAGAGTTTCCATTCTAAGTTTGTTGTTCTATGACTACAACTAACTATTCATGGCAACGAAAAACAACTCACTACTTTTTCATTACTACCTAATTTTACAATGAATTAAAACTAAATCAAGGCGTTAAGGAAAGCAGGTATTTTCAAATAAAAGGGAGCAAATGCTTATTCTTTCAAAATTCAAAGTAAATACTCGTAAGTGCCCCTTCATACTGGTTTCTTAAGGAGCACTTACGGGTATATTTACTTTGAATTTTGCAAGTATAAGCATATGCTCCCTTTTATTCATATGGGCCATTGTCTCGTGGACTAAACATCTCACTCACCAATAAAACGCCTCATTTATACACTCATTGCATAAATAACTATTAAGGAAGGAAGATATTCTAAACGCTATTGGAAAGACGGATAAATACCGAAGACCTGAAAAGTAAATAGTTCCCTAAACATTTTATTTTACTAAAAGATCAAATTTTTGTTTCATTTAAAAATTATTGTTATTAGCTTCTTATAACTTGTATTTTATTTTGTTAAAAAAGTATACCTATTATTGCTTCATTTAAAGAATTTAAAAATGTAGATAAGCCGTTGCTGATTCCTAACAGTTAAAGAAGATTACTATTATAGTTTCGTGATAGAGTACGCCTTGTTTTATTTAGAAAAATTAATTGTTTGTTTTATTTCTTTAGAAAATATTTTTTATCAAATTCAGTTGATATGTCCGGGTTTATAATCCCTAAATCCGGGGTTTTCACGCTTCCTGTCCTAGTTGGTAGAGTTTTGAGATGGCAACCCTAGGCACTTGGAATAAAGGAAAATCTAACGCCAGTTTCAAAATTTGGTGGTGCGCATGCGCTGTGCCAACTTTTTTAGTTATGGAAGGATTTAAATTAAATTTGATACATAGGTGCTTGGAACAAAGGGAAATCTAACGTTAGTTTCAAAATTTAGGTCTGCGCATGCGCAGTTTTAAATTTCTTATTTAGAATAGCATTGAAATGAAATTCTTCTTATAAACTGAAATTGAAGTAGCAAGTCAAAAATAGAATGCACATCATATGCAACGCTATCTTTCATATTGGTGGCCGGATTTTTACGATTTTAACAGAAGTTGCATTTTACAAATGGGAAATAAACGCAAGTGGAAATGCGTTTTTTGTAAATCGTTTACGATTACTTTTTAACTTGTTGTGTTTACTAGTGGCTCCGTCCCGGTTTAGTGCCACAAAATTATGGTAAGCCTATACAAGATGCTAGTTTTAAATTTTAAGCCTGATGTTTCGACTCCGTTTTTTTTCTTATGGAAGTCTCTACCTTTGTTTTCGTAAATGTTTTTAGGCACTGGGATACTCATGATCAACAATAGGTGGGGATGCTTTATATCTGTTGATACTACATTCATATATCTAGGAGAGTGATCATGATCATATACTTAGAAGATTAACCAAAAAAGAAAATTATAATCGCTATATCCTAACAAACAATAATAGGTATATTGTAGGTTAGTACAATATTAACAACCCTCGTTGTACTTTATTTATTACTCTGAGCAAATACTACTGATCTTTGCTCTGAGTTATAACAACCTCAGAAGAAATTCTTACTCTGAGTTAAAAACATATTATTTCAAACTATAACAGAGGGTAGTTCATAATGTATCATTCTTCTATTATTTGCATTTTAATAACCATGTAAAATTGATACTTACCCATATCACATTTTATCTCATAGGCGTTTTTCATTCCACTTTATCACTGCCTATGATGCGATATGGTGTAAGGTCGCTTTTATGCACACGGTTTTTGTCACCAAGGTGACAAAAAACGAGACGTTTATACATGAAACAAAATGGAACTTTTGTTTAGCTTTCAAATAAAATGTGTTACCTTTACATATAAAATTCTTCAGTGCCTGGGACTGAACGGATTTTAATGAAATTTTGTGTATGAGTCTGTGTGTCCCGGAATCGTTTAAACATATAAGTGGCCATCGTACTACTAAATTCAATGGTAGGTACTACTGTGTCACATGTCTATGATCGTGTAACAAGAAAGTGCATATTGATAAAAAATGTATCTACATAGTGTGTTATATATATTTGGTGTAGAAAGATAATTAAAAAGTAGTCACAATGCCAATCGTTTTTCTAGTTCCTCCATAAATAGTTCAACATCGAAGTTTTTCCATTTGACCAACTCACCCGTTCACATATCGATACACGTCTACCTGCAGATTAGCAAAATAATAAGTGCCTATGGAAGCATCAGCGACAATAAACGTGTTGCCTAAAAGTACCAATTTAATTCCTAGTGCCTATTGCAATGCGGTCTCTAATTCCAGGTCACAGCAAATGCGTATTAAAAATAGAATAACTTTACTTAATATATAGAGTATGCAAGTTACAACTGTATGACTAGATTGTGTTTATTATGTTATATTACAAATCAATTATCAGCAATTGACACAAAATCATGTAAGTACTAAAAACTATACCATGTATTAAATAAATTTGTAACGATGGAAAAGGAGCGTACAAAACCAAAATTTTTCAAGAGAAATCAACTAAAAAAGAATGTGCATTAATCAAATATCACGCCACTTAAATTGAAATAATCAGCTTAAAATGTACTATTATGTATAATACTAGGTACTAAACATTAATTTACTATTAAATTATATAACAAAATAAATATCTTACATATATGGCCAAGTACCAAAATTTCCGAATTTAAATCTATATTAGTTCGGCTACATATTCTAATTGTCCCTCGTTATTCACACTCATTTGTGAATCATGACGATGCGATCTACATTCCTCTGATTCAATGTCCCCCAAAGAAGAATCGGGGACTTGAAACGTGGAGCCTTGAAAACCCATTGCGGCTTCGTAGTACTGAAAAGAAGTTAAAATGTAGGTAGTGGTATACGAAACAAATACTTAATTGCAAGACTTGATAATCAAGTGCCATTAATGGAAAGCACTTCTTACATTTACTGTGTCCTTAAGGGAACCCTGTGAACTAGTCGAATGGCGAGGTATTCGTGATAATGTGGCGTAATCTGCAATGTCATCTCCCAATGACAAGGTTGCAGTATGAGCCGATCCCCTTCTGTTTGGATGTTGAATGGTTGCGTAAGTGTTGTCATCCTAGGACTTATGTTACACACTCGTACATATTAATCGGAACACAACTTACTAAGACATAATCACTACTATTTCTCCTTTCCATTGCAGCTTGATCCGGCTCATTGAACACTTGCATTGTAAGTTCTTGTTCTTCATAGATTTTCAGTTTTCTAAAACAAATTTGTATTACTTAATATACTGTGTGAAAACCACTTTTGCAGAATTGGAGTGACGAATATATTAATATTATGGGTAAAAATGAATTGAATACTCGAAATAGTTTTTCTTTATCACTTCCGAGTGAAAACAATTTTATTTACACTTGGTCGAACAATTAAATAAAATTTTTATTTTTTAATAAACAGTCCCATTTCTAGGGGCGCAACGGACACTCCGCCCAGAGACCCCCCTCTGGGAATATTTAGCCGAATTTGCTACCTTCATTCGGTCATATCAAGTTTACATAATTATAATTAAGATAAAAATGTAGAGATGATAAAAGAGCTTTCAAAGTTTACATTAACTCGATAATATAGAAAAATACAACACACTTTAGTAATATAAGAATTCGTATACGTAACAAGTTTAATTTTACAGAGATTTGTGAATGCATTAAATATTAACAAAAAAATAAGGCAATGTAAGAAACCGTTAGCGATGTTGATGGTTTCACACAAGCAGCAATTCGGAACGCCCTCTACATGATCGAACACAGTAAGTTAATTTAAATTAATATAAATTAAAATTAAAAATATAAAATAGACAGTGTAACTCTTCAATTCAAAACTTCTCAAAAACTAAAAACTCACCAAAAAAAATTGCAACAAGCTATTTTGTAGAGTATTTTATTCCACATTACCCAGTGTATGTGAGAAAAATTAAAAAAATTGTTTCAAGCCTTTATGGCTCTTTTAAACTTCCTCAACAACCATGATGGCCTTCAATTTAGATTTTCTTACACACAAAATTATGAGTTTCCCATTTGTACATAAACAGAACCTCCAGTTTTAACATCAACTGCTACCCAGATGTGGCAGTCGCTTTTCGACTTCTGCTGATAAGTACTGTGGGCGTTGTTATTACGAAAAAACAATTAAAATGATTTTTTTAAATCATTTTTTTTAGTAATTGGTCAATAGAAGTCGTTGATGTAATGGAGTATGTAGGACTGTTTCTATGGCTGCCTACATATGTATTTTTTTCCATCAATTGAATGATGCTATGTAACAATCCTTAGTTATGACGTCATAATACACAGATGAAGTACAAGTACCTAACTATAGAAGGATGTGAGGATAAGATATTTCAGAGACGTGAACCAGTACCAAAATCCCTTGTACATACAAAATCCAGCAAGATGGAGCAATTAATGAATACCAAAACCTAAAGGCTAAAGCTTGAAAAAACAAACAAACAAAACCGTTACAATTAATAAAAAAATGAAACTAAATTTAAGGTAGATAAATGGAATTCGGAAAAACAGACGCGAAGATAGTGCTACAAGATTATATCTTTCATTTTCCGATTTCCATAAGTAATGAGCTATCTGTAACTGTAACATATTTGCATGGTAATACCATTGTTTAAATACATTTAAACAATGGTAATACCTAGTACCCAAAATAACAACTAAATCAAGATTACAGCACATATATA